TTGTTTTGTTCTTACTTTTGAAATAATACGCTTGGACTTGTATTCTTGAATGTCTTTATTCCTAAATTATAAAGGTGTGCACGGTTTGAGAATGTGTTAGGTTGACTCTAGGATATGGTATGCTAAGGTAGCTGGCTAAGAACTTTGGGACCATGAAGCTCTAGTTCACTTGCTTGTGGTAAGATGGAGTTGCTCTCTATGGTGGATATGAAATCAAGAGTTAGTTATTGCTATCCCTAGGGAGGTAAATTGTTCAAGCCTTCATCATACTTTGTTGAGCGGCATATTTGGATCCTTGGCTATTGCATTCTCGTATCTAGAACTTGACTTTTAGCTCCCATGATCGCGACTGAGCCACTTTAGGGGATGACAAAGACATTTCTCTTTTTATAGGATTAATTTTCAATTTTGGATTTGGTTTGCAATTGCCCCTATTACTAGCCCATTTGAGCCATATACATTCTTTTCTCTAACCTTAATACAAGCCTTCCAGCCTTAGTTTCACTTTAAATCCTACCTTTAGTTTGTGAAGCAATTTTGTTTTGGAGCTTGTTTTATTGTTTATGGTGCAAGTTTAGAATTATAAGTTCATTTGCAAAGCAAGTATGTGTTGTATATAATTTTTTGCATAAAACCAAATACATTTTGAGAAAAAGCCGTCCAAAGTTAAAAGAGGCAAGGACATTTAAAAAAAAAAAAAAAGAAAGAAAGAAAAAAAAAAAGCTTGGAAAAAGGAATTATTAAAAAAAAAAAGTAAAGAAGAATGTAAAGCACACAAAAAAAAAAAAAAAAAAAAAAAGGGGTTTTGTTATTGTTGTTCTCCCTGTTTTTGTTATTTTGTGTTAAATAAGCTTGGGGGAAAGTTATTTAATAAGCATACTTGGCACTTTTGTTTTGGAATCGTTTGGATCTTGTGAAGAAGTTCCACCCGTGCTTCACATAGGTTTACCACCAATTTCAAGAGTTCTCCACACCTTTACTCTCCTAGCTTATATGTTAATACCTTGAAAGTCCTTTTGATCCTAGAGGGTTAAGTCATTCAATGATGGCGGGAAATAGGAATCAAGCCTATAGAGCGAGTTTGCATAGCCAAGATGTCGGGTAACCTTCTCAATGTTTTTAATTTCTTATTTATTTTCCGGTTTCTTCGTGGAATCATGAGAAGCTAACTTGAAAGTGGATTTGAAACTAGTAGAGAGAACGTGGTTTGATTGGTTGAAACAAAAGGTGGAATGTGTTTCCTTTAGTTCTCTATGCTTAGCATATGTTATGTTTCAATCAACCTTGGACATCTTAGAACGTGCATACCTTTATTATTTTAGAAAGATTGACATTCATTAGTGTTTGTTCCATCATAAAAGTCCACTCTAGAACGCTTGTAACTTTTCTCTTACTTCGATTTATTTTATTTTATTTATTTATTGCCTTGCCTTGATTTTTGTCAAGAGTTATGGGTTAAACTCTTAGGACACCCTTACGAGAGCTTACTCGTCCTCTAGAGCGATCTATGGGGTTTAAAGTGCTTGATGCATGCGCTAAATGCATTCGTGATTCCTACGAAAGTGAGTTAGTGTATATTCTTTCTCTTCTAGTTTTATTTTAAAAAAAAAAATATACATCGTTTTCCGTTGTGTTTGTTTTGTTTTGCTCGAGGATGAGCAAAAGTTAAGCTTGGGGGTGTTTGATGAGTGACATTTATGTTACCCTTAGGGGTAGTGTATTGGTCTCTTTTCTCCTGTTTTTCTTAGGTTTTCTACCTCTTTTCTCCTCTTATGGCTTCCTTTTCTTTTATGGATGAAAAGTATGCTTATTTGCGCTTGTTTTGATAATCTTTATGCATAATTTTATCATCCCCATGCTCTCGTGATCTTTGCTATCTTTTGCAGGTTCCATGACGGTCCTAAGCACGGTAGGAGGCCCCTTGGCCAAGTATGGAGGCATGGACAAAGACAAGAGGAGCAAAAGGGAGAAGAGGAAGCAAGAAGAGGAAGTTCAAGAGGAGGTGTGGCCGAACCTCTAAGAGGTTCGGTCGAACCTAGGTGTGGTCAAACTTTTGAAAAGTTCGACCGAACCTCCAAGGCAGTTTCAACCAAGTTTTCAGCATGTTTACAGGAGGGGTCGAACCAGGAAAGTTCGACCAAACAAGGATCAGGGAGGTTCGACCGAACCTACCCTGAGTTCGGCCGAACCTACCCTGAGTCCGACCGAACCTACACAGAGTTCGGTCGGACCTTTTCCCGTTTCAGCTGACTTTTTGCGGAGCTTCCTAAGCAATTTTGTAAAGGGTATAAATAGATTTTTTTTTGCTCATTAAAGAAAAAAGAGATTTTTCAGTTTAGAATAGTTTTTAGGATAGTTTTAGGTTTTTAGAGAGAGAAACTCTCAAATTTTGGAGAGAGAAAGTGAGGAGCACAATGGTTTTCATGGATTTTGGATAATCAAAGGAGGAATTTGATGATTTGAAGATCTCCATTTTATATCAATGAGCATTTCTTACTCTCTTCTCTCTTTATGCTTTATTAATTTCTTTGTTAATCATGTTTGAGTAGATTTCCTTCTACTAGGTGTTGAGTGAAGCTTTGTTATGGTTAATTGAGTTATTTGAGATAAATTTGATGATAATTGTGTGATTAAATTGATTGAATTGATGATGGCATGTTGTTTGTTTTAGATTGGATTGATCTCCCAAGATAGCAAACTTAATTGCATGTTAGTTCTAGTTTGACAAGGGATTGTGAATTAGAATTTATATATTTGATTGCATTTTGGGTAAATTTCTTCTATGCACCTAGTCAATGAGGGATCTAGGCTAGGAATTTGAGAGATTGCTCTTGATGGTAATTAATTCCCATTTTAATTCTTTCTTTGCATGATTGATTATCAAATCGATTCCCATTAACTTGTTAATTGTTCAAAGTGGATCTTTGCCCCTAGTAGACTTTATCATACCCTGTTCTTTATATGTGTGTTAGTGTAGTTGTAGTGTCCACTATCCATAAACCGACTTCGGCGTAGCTTAAGCATTAGATCGAGAACAATCCAACATTACCGTTCCTTGTGGTTCGACTCCGAACTTACCACTAGACTTGTTTAGGGGTTAGTTTTAGGATTTATAAATTTATTTGATTGAGTGTGGAATGTGCGACCGTTCTAACGCCCCGTCAGTGGTGATCGACAGATTCTCAAAATATGCCACCTTTGTTCCCATGCAGAAGGCTTGGAGATGGCGGCATTGTTCTTCAAACACGTCGTGAAGTATTGGGGGTTACCCCAAACCATAGTCAGCGATCGAGATACAGGATTCACGAGCATATTTTGGACAGAATTGTTCCAGCTGACGGGGTCGGACTTAAACATGTCTTCAAGCCACCACCCTCAATCTGATGGCCAAATTGAGAGATTTAACGGTCTCTTAGAGGAATACTTGAGATATTTCGTTAGCGCCAATCAAAAGGATTGGGTGAAGCTCCTTGACGTTGCTCAACTTTTCTTCAACACCCAAAAGATTACTGCATCCAACAGAAGCCCATTTGAATTGGTGATGGGCCAACAAGCTATCCTGCCTCACATCATAGCAACATCCGAAGATGGTAATAACCGCGAAGCACGGGAGTTTAAGCGAGAGTGGCAGCAAAACATGGAAGTTGCTCGCGCATACTTAGAGCGGGCATCAAAGTGAATGAAGAAGTGGGCTGACAAGAATAAAAGACCGCTGGAGTTTGGTGTAGGGGACATGGTGATGGTGAAAGTCCTCCCAGAACAGCTCAAGTTCCTTAGAGGAAGAGATCGCAGAGTGATCAAAAAATATGAAGGCCCCATCCGCATCATTAAACGGATTGGGAAGAATGCTTACAAGGTCGATCCGCCTACGTGGATGAAGATACATCATGTCTTCCACGTTAGCCGTCTCAAACCCTATCATCCAGATATAGAAGATAGCAACCACAACACCAGCAACCGCGCTAACATCAGAACCAGGACGAGAACCACACCTGCAACGGAAGAGTGAAGCTGTTATTTCTTATTCCTTAAGTGTATGTTTTGTTTTGTAAGTCGACGAGGTCGTCGACGGCTGAAGTGGGAGAGGATGTTAGAATCCGCCTTTTTCTCTATGTATCCCCCTTCCTTTTTTCTTGTATTTTCCTTATGTAGTGTCTTCTAAATCTTTATTTTTGCTTTCTAGGCTCTAGGGAAAATTATTGTGTTACTGTAGTTTCAGTGTCCACTAGTATTTCTCTATGTAATCAATATAAAGCTCTTTATGAAGCGAATGGTTGAATGAATGAAAGCTGCTATCCCGGTTACCTTTGCTTTAAGACGTGTGTTGATTTAAGTCTTTATAGATATTGTGCTTGCCTTATTCTAAAGCATCCCCTCCAAACCAAGAGAACCTCAAAAGACGCCTTCTTTATTGTCGGTCCCTTGTGCCCGCTTCGAAATACCGGCCGTCACAAGCCCCGACTCTGCACTCGTTGTTGACGAGCGCTTCCTTGAGATACCTTTGGTCAGTGTTGCTGTGTGCCCACGAACCCCCTCCGCTCTAAACTTGTGTCCTTGTCATCAAAAGACAAGTGCGTGCCACACGATCCGGTGTCAAAACTCTCGGACCGTGACACAATGGAACAACCGATATTCATTTTGTTGTCGCATAGCATTAAAGTGGACAATTGCGTTATGTAGAGTTAAGCAATTTTCTTCAATAAAAATAGAATTAAGTGATTGTCATCTCCCACCCCTCAAACAACACAACAATAAAAGGCTGAACTTATAATGCAATAGCTTTTTTCAAAAGTTTTAGAAAGAACCAAATATAGCAATCTATATGTGGTTAAGAGCTTATTTTAACCACGGTGCTCCAAACTCAAATACTCAAATTCTATCGAGTATCCACTCTACAAAAAAAAAAAAAAAAAACCATCCATAACTTCTCCAACATCTACTTTTTTTATTCATGCAAATATAAATCCAGTGCATTAAACATTCTAGTACATATAAGTTACCAGGAATATTATCAGCAAGTCGTGGTTCAGTGTAATGTCCGTTGCAGAGAACCACAGCATCATAAGTTTCAGCCACATCGCTGCCCTCGTCTCCACCAACTCTCCTATATTTCACCATCCACTTTCCATCCGTCTCCAGCCCAACATGCCTCACATCTGTCTGGTAACAGATTAATTTATTCAGTCCGAATTCATAAGCAAAATCTTCCAAGTATCTCAGCACCTCCTGATGCCCTGGAAACCTTCGTGAATCTCTGCCAACTTTGCCTATAAAGAAAATTACACACCACTACCAGTAAGACTAGTCCAGGAAATAAATCGCGGAACCTCATAAATCATAATGTATTTGAAAGTACATATTATAGAGGCTGTCTTGGTACCCTCCATCACGTAATACACTATTTTCCTTCCTGAAATCTGAAGTTCCTGCAGAATTTACATAAGTTTTGCACCTAAAGTCAACAGCTACAAGAAGAACCATCTTCAACTCTCCAAAGGCTTTGCACATACAAATATTACACACTGCAAGTTTCATGTCCCGTAATATTAAAGCTAAATGCTATCTACAAAGCTAATTATCTTAAAACTCTTAACCAGTCAAAACTAAAAAGGAATGGATTGGAAGGAGTACACGTCGATTATATAGAATATAATATGAAAAACATGAAAAAATAAATTACCAGTAGGAACAAAAGGAAAAATACGAAAGCCCATAGATTCTCTAGGAGAATTTGTGCGAAGAGAAGCATACACGCTTGAGTGAACAATTTTCCGAGTTCGGTCATGTCCAAGCGGATCAGACTCAACCTCAGCCGAGTAAACCCAGCATCCGCCCAACTGCGCAGCACGCTCGAACACCACTACATCAAGACCTTCATTTCTAAGCTCATGAGCCGCCATCAAACCAGCAGGGCCAGCACCGATCACGGCGACTTTTTTACATGTCATCTTTGAAAACAGTGCACAGACAATGTGGTTTGCAGGAAAACATTAGTACAATAAGTATAATAAAAATGGCATTGACTTGACGTAGAATATGAACCACCATACTTCGAAGTCTTATTTAATTCTTTTCTATTGAGGAGCAGAAGACTATGGCGGTAATATTTAATCCGTAATTTTGCTTAGACAAAACACAATGACATAGCTGCACCAGCAAAAACAGTTTTCACACAATTTATTTAAACTTAGACCTGGCAAATGGGTCATTTGGGTCGGGTCTGGGGTCGGGTCACTTTCGGGTCAGCTAACATTCAGGTCGGGTATGGGTCGGGTTGATTCGGATTTCGGGTCAACTTCGAGTCAAGTATTAGGTCAACTTCGGGCCGGGTCAAATTCGGGTCAAGTATGTTCGGGTCATATTCAGGTCAGGTCAGGTCAAAATCTGGTCGGATCATTTTCGGGTTGTTTCATTTGTAAATCAAGCTTAAATGAATTATTTTATACTGAGTATATATTTTGTTATTGTTATAATATAAACTATCAATTCAGTTTATGACCTTAGCTACGGTTGAAGATGAATAATTTGAGTTACTTTTGGTACAAGACATTTTAAGTTCAATTATAGGTAATTTTAGTTCGGGACATTTCGGGTATCGAGTCAATTTGGGTCAATTTTGGGTATCGAGTCTGTTCGGGTCAAACACTTCGGGTCAATTTCAGGTCAGGTCAACTTCGGATCGGGTCAGTTCGGGTGTCAGGTCAACTCCATTTTCGGGTCAGATATGGGTCAGGTCCGGTCAATTTAGGGTTTCGGGTCAATATTTTCGAGTCAATTTCTAGTCAAGAGTTGAGTCATTCGGGTCGGGTCATCGAGTCTAAATCAGGATTGCAAGGTCTATTTAAACTTTTACACCGGTCAATCTTTTGCCTTCTTTTAGGCAACTCTATTAAAAGGCTAATAATAGCAGAAAATACAAAATTCAATAAAATCGTTTTCAATTTTCTCAGGAAAATGTTAGGAAAAATACTACAAGTGCCCATAAAAAACAAAGAGACTTCAACAAATTTGACTACAAAGTTTGAATTATAAGACTTGATACAAATTATACAATCAATTATGATAGAAGATGATAATGGGGGCAGATATCAGAAAAGTTACTAATATATACTTCGTATAACGCCATCACTGAGCAAAAGGCGTTACACTGGGGAAAAAAAATAAACAAAATAAATTTGATGTTGGCCTCCCATGAATCAGCTAAGCTATTTCGATATTCAGCTTATCTGGGATTATGAAGGCACCTATGTTTATTTTAGAATTAACTAAAATAAGAGCAAAACAACAATAGACAGCATTGATCAAGAACCCCACAACTCAAATTTCTAGACCATTAGCCGAAAACCAGCATAAAGCAGTATAACACGAGTCAAGGCCAACCCATGAATACACCTAAGATTTTGTATGGCTCCCTGTAAAGATTAAAGCCCCTCTTGTTGGTTAACATTGCACTATGATTATGATTATGATATAATAATGATGCATCAATATCCGATGGGCATCACCATAAGATGCTATTTACAAGTCTCTTCAATACATGCACAAATCAAGGTGAATGCTATTTTACACATCCACCGTATCCAAGTCAATGTTGCCATTGGACACGGACTGCCTATCCAAAACTCACTGCCCATCCTGTGCACCTTCAAAACGATAGTCCAGATGATAATGGATTTCTTCTCTTTACCGAGGATTACGGCACATCTGACATAGAGTGGAGGAATCAGGATTTGCATAAGTACACCGTTCACAGTTCCAATGATTGAGATCGTCTATGTTTCTGGTACCAGTACGACCATTTCGTGAGGTTAAAGATTTTCCTTTTCCCCCTTTCCCTTTGGCTCCTGTATTCTTCGCGCTAACTGATGTGCTGGAAGCTGCTTGAGAATCAACTTCTGATAAACCATTTTCCAATGCCCTGACTAAATTCTCAAAGTATGAACGAGTAACCCTGTAGGAGTTTGAGATTATATCAATAACAATTTCAGCTTTCGGAAAGGACTGTGAAATGCATAGAATGGTATAACAATAGACATGGGTCAAACATATGATACAGATGCAGGAAACTAAAAGCAGAGCAACATAATCAGAAGCAATTATAACTTCTTCCTTCTCAAGTCTATGGGGTGATGGTACATAGAAAGAAATAAGGACCAAGTCTCAACTAGGTACCCCTTTGGTGAAGTAGCCTAGAATAATGCCTACATTAGACCTCTATCATACACTATAACTAAGTCTCACTAGTGGAATTTATCAAGAACAGTGTCCACTACGACTAATTATCTGCACGCCGCAAAAGACATAAACATCAATGAAGGTATTCCTCTATCCTCACTAACTACTAATATCATAGCCAACGTGCAGTTTGCAATGGCAATGCTACAAGCAATACAGATCCACCAGATTAAAATGACTTTGCAATTCATGATTTATCTATGTATCAGAAAAGTCTTACAGAAGTACAAATCACAAACACTACAGCCTGATGCCAGATGGTTACCTGGTCAATCCAGCCAACTTTGGCCGAAATGTTTCAAAATCTGGTTGAGTTTCAACCTCACCATCGTCATTACCAAGGAAAACTAATAATTCCTTCTCCGCACATTGATGAAGCCTCTCAAGAGCAGCCTCGGCCTCACCTACAAGAAGCAAACATTAGGTGGAACAGTCAGTCTTTTTAATTTCCCTTGAACAGCCAGTTCCACATTGCTTTAGGGTACGGTTTTACCTTGTGAATACTCAAACAGCTGCCTCTTTGCAGTTTCATGCTCAGGTAAATAATAACCATATGCATACGTCCATTTCAGCACTCGTCTACACTCAATAATCTGCATAAAACAAAATTGTAATTATAACAACGAATAGGAAAAAGATACTCAGATGCATCAATCATGACCAAGGGTGACAAGAACAAGAAGCTAGCACACCAATTGCGCATCTCTCCTCCTTTTCTTTCCTTTCACATTGCCTCTTTACAAAAGGTGTAAAAGGTGACATGGAATGAAGTCATTATTCCATAATTTACCTGTTGCCAAGCCTCTATAATAAATTTGAGTTGCGACTCAGGTTCCTTCAGTTTGTCACTCAACTTCTCTAACTGCAAATAATTAGAAAAACCCAATGTCAAAGCAGCAATACTATCAGTGAAGATAAAAGATAATGTCCAAGATCAGAATGATTTTAACCTGACTTAAGCTCAAGATCATCAAGAAGACTAATAGATCCAGCACACAAAAAGGTAAGGGAGGACAGCAACAGGAAAGGCACAATGATTCGAGAGAACAGAAGCCTCTGTATTACACTAGCTCAAGAAACTAAAAACATAGATAATCTGATCTCTTCTTAATACAATTCACTAATAATTTCTTGGCTTTAACAAAACAAGCATCTTAGAATTGTTACAGAAAGATAGTTACTGGTACATAGAACTGACTAGGAATTTTGATGTTGAGATATTAATAGTCAAGTAGAAATTCAATTTACCACATTTGCCAAGAATATTTTCTAATTAGCCCTAAGATTTCAAACTAATCAACAAGATAATAAGACCACGGAGATGATTAAAAAATATACCTTCAATTTTTTTTATATAGGAACTAGGCATAGCCAGGTAACAAATCTAAGGATATAGGATTATCATTGGATATTGAAATATTGAATAGCTACAAGAATAGATAGGCAGTTCCAGCACAATATCAAATTATGAAACAAGTTAAAACAACAGCCATGTAATACTCTCAATGTAAGATATATATAGCAGTACATAACAGTCAGAAGTACAGCTATACAAATTAAGCAAGAAAAACACTCCACCTATATTAGGCTACAATCAACCTTACATTTAATACGGAGTGTTAAACAAATATTACAAGAGTTCAGGAAAAAAAAAAAAGGAAAACCATGAGAGACTTAGAGAGCGTCAGGATGGGGGCAAAAACAATATTGTGTAAAATAATAAATTATAATATAAAACTAAAATCTTACATGGACAGTTTGCATTTGGTGCAAATCAGCAATAGCTTTTTGCCTTGACTGCAACAAGAAACAAACATTCACCATTTACCCACCAATCAAAGTAATAAAGTACATAAGGGCACAAAATTATTTATCAGTCTGCCAGTTAAAAGGAAAGCTCATAAACATATATAAACAAAAATAGAGTACCAACAAGTTCAATTTAAGAACTTTAATAAAGTTTTGTTCTTCAAAAAGTATTGCAATGCAAAACCAGAGACATACATAGGGTACTAATTATACCACATAGACATTGTTCTACTATTCACTAAGTCAGAACCAACAAATGACCAGAGAAGCTAATACTCCTTACTGTTTGGTTGCTTGCCCATCGTTCATAATAATGTGTATATCTCTCCAGAGAATTCTTTGCCATTTCCCTCCTCTTTTCAGATTCATCATACTACAGAAACATGGAGGTGTACATGGAAATATCATTAACAGTACCATAGAGATAAATATAAAATCTAATAGCCAGTCGTATATCAGCAGGCTCCATTACCAATCCCTCTTGTTTTGCAGCTTCGTAACGGTTACATGCATAGAAACCACCCGTCCTTTCGCCATGATCGGACCAAGCACCAAGGCATAGCCTGAAAGGCAACACGATTCTATCCAATAAACAATAGAAAAATAATGATCAATCAACCTCAACCAAAAAACAAACATTCGAAATAAAAACAGATGTGATTACAGCACAAGTTAGTGTTTACAATATCAACACTTAATTATACTTTACCAGCAAAACTCAAACTTGCATGGCGGGGTGCAAGACATATGCATGCATCCCTGATTTTTCTCAATTGGACGCTTGCACTTCGGACAAGGCTTTGAATTAGCCAGAATCCTGTAAATATGAAGCACGCAAACACCACATCAATAGTCAATACATGTAAGAGATGGAATGTATATGACATTTCCACCCTATTCTTGCATCTTGTTCATTAGTTGGTCAATTAAGATAGAAATAAACCATACAGAAGTAATGAATGAAAAAAATTTGAACTCAAAAATATTCTCAGAACAGCAAGCACCAGGGACATTTAAAACCACCACAAAAAGAGCCATACCAATTCATATTTTCAGATTCTGCACTATTCTTCAAAATCCACTTAGCCACAGTGCTACAGTCCACAGGACGATGAGCTTCTTCTGTACACTGTAAATAATAGTCGCCCAATTCAATTTCCACCAAGAGAAACTTCGATTTAGGAAAAGTAATAATTCCCCAAAATAAAATTAAAGCTTACAGTTGCAATTAAATCATTAAAAATAAGATAATACAATAATAAGTTACAAACATAAACAACAGATGCTTTCCACTCATTTGTCCCCTCGTCAAAGCATAACAAGCGTAACTTGTTCAATCTTAAATGATATAACTCATTCAGCATGGTGGTTCATGGTAACAGCAAAAAACATAACTATTAATAACCAGTTTTTTCCTTGTAATTGGGAGCAGGACATCTTCCTTTCAGAAAGGGGGGGGGGGTAAAAGGCTGCAAATCATTCAGCTGAAACTTACATTCCAGCAAAACGCATGCGAACATAAGCATTTAACATCATAAACGTTGCTTCCAAGTTCAAATTCTACTGCATTTTCACAATCTGGGGCTGGGCACCACTTGGTCTGCGGGAAATGAAAAAGACATTATAAGAGAAGACAGTAATGGCAAAGCAAGTAACTGATATGTTTGCACATTTAGACATCTATGGCCAATACACAGCCAAGATAGAATATTCAATTACGGGTTTATAGCAACAAGCCAGTAGAATGTGGCAATGAGCATTATATTATGAACTTAATATACATGACAACGAAAAAAATGAAAAGATGCAAACATTGAGAATATGCAAAATGGATATAAATCCAATTACAAGATAGTAAAAACACAGCTGACTACATCAGAAGCATTAGCACACACTTGTAATAAAGCTCACATAAAACTTTTTCGCCGACGCAGTTTTCCACCTTTTATTTCTTAACTCGTTACTAAGTATGTCAATAAGCTCTACACCCAACAATGAAAAACTATCCAAAAATAAAATGGAAACTCGCAAAGTGTAATCATATCCAGAAAAGGAAAGTGGGAACACAATGTATGCCTATATAAATGCCCACGCAGCCATTCAGTCAAAGACAACTACGATTTTAAAGATCTGGCTAATTGGTCAATGCATCAGTTTTCCAACTGGCAGCAAGAGATGAAGAGCAAGTAGTAAATGACCAAGGTCAGTATGTGAGATAGATCAATAAAAGGTTGATGCAGCTGATAATCAGACAACACCAACCATGCCATTTAGACAACAAAACAAAGAGTATGCTTCAAAGTTTAGGGCCACTATTTTCATCAGATCACAACCATGATCTAAGATGATTAATCTATCTCGCTTCTCAAGTCACTGTGAGGCTGAAATTTTAGTTATAAAGTTCTCAGGAGAGGTCAAAGATCTACCAAAGAACAATCTAGCCCAAAAAGGAATTTAAACAAAGAAAGAATAAAGGTGTGTTGGAATATAGGTCCAAATAATTAAGTGATGGAAATAAACTAATCCTCTTAAAAGGATATGTTTCAAAAATAGAATGAAAGTATCTCCCGGTCACAACTTGTGTTCTAAATTAGAGAGCATTTTTGCCACTCCATTGCAAGCTCATTCCTGGGTATAACTGGATAACTACCATAAAGTATACATAAGCATGTTCACCACCAAATGTGACATACCCATGCTCAAAAGGTGAGCAAAAATAATATTCTAAACAAAATCCAATAGCTTCAAGTAACAGGAGAAGCACTAATAGCCTATAGCCCTATACAGGAAAGCAGTCCATTCAACTACAAAGCAAAGCAGCGAACACAACTGCAAAAGAGTCAACAAATTATACCACAATTCGAAAAATTTACTGTAAAGTGACACAAGTCAATTGAAAGATATCAACAGATCACTATACATTACCAAATTCACAAATCCTAACATGAACAATATGACATATATTGTAATAATAATGTGTGGCACGGGTAAAAACAATCAAAAAAAAAACCTTAATACAAAACTGAGCTCTCCCCACTCTAAAGAAAAAAGCATCATACAAAAATTTAACCGGTAAGATCAATATAATAAAGAAAACCCACCTTTTTCTTGTCCACAATGTAAGATCTAACAAAATAGCGAGAATATTTCTCCCTATCTTCATCAGATGCCAATTTGTGGATCATATCATGACCAACTGCAGCACCACAACCTGGAGCCGGACATCTAAGCAACAAGCACCCTGGGCCATCATTAATGGATGTAGTAATATAACCTGCAAAACAAATCCAATTAGATACCAACATCCTCAGCAGAAAAGACGGAGATGCACAAGGACAAGCAATAATGATGATTAAATGTGCGATGACATGTAAAAAAATAATATATATGCATGCATACAAGAGAGGGGTTGGATTTGTGTCGCATATACTATATACTCCAGCTTTTCAATTTGGGATGTGACAAAATGATTCGGCATAAGAGTCCAATAACACGCTTTCTACTTCGCATAATTCTACCACCATTCCTTTATTGCAACCATTCATGCACAGAGTTATGTAAACTCAAGAGTAAATCAAACCATTATAAATATTTACACAATTAGACTAGAACCACCACCTATAAATTTTACTCTTAGAGAGCAGACAAACTCTACAAAATGAAAAAGAGTATACAGAAGCAGAGTCTTCACTGAACAATCAATGAAGCAACATCACCACAATGCCTCCAAAAGTCTGAAGAAGTTCTCCTAGGGCAGGGTATAGTGGCTGGAAAAAATACAACCTTATCCCTACAATAAGAGAAGGCTTGTTCCCAATTGACCCTAGACCCTAGTAAGGCTCTGTTCTCCTCAACTTATTTCCCATATTTCAGGTCAAAAAATTTAATATAAGTTCAAATATAAGGGCTAATAAGTTCAGATAAGATAAGGGTTAACAGGTTTAATAACACCTTATATAAGATCTAATAAGGTCTGAATGTCCGATAAGATAAGGGCTAATAAATTCATAAAAATTCAGATAGCATAAGTTCAAGACTAATATGATAAGATAAAAATATCACAAGTAAAATACAGGTCAAGAGAACACTAGCTATATTGTTTAACCATTACTGAACAATCGCTAAGAATGCACAATTTATTAGGCCGTAATTATGTATCCGTTATCGTCTTATAGAAAAAGAATAGTGAGAGATTGACCCCATTGGAAATGAACATGCATTTGAAAGCTTACCATGTCAGCACGATTATGCAACATATCCAAACACTAACAAAAATACAAATCATTCTAGGAGAACTTATTATTTTCTAATTGAAGGGGACGGATAAGGATAAATCAAACTAAATCCAACCTTTCCAGCAAGTTATACAATAGGGGTGACCACAAACAGCTGATTGTATCTGGTCACGAGGATAGGAGTCAAAACAGATTCCACAGGTCAACTGCCAAAACAACACACAATTAGAAAAAGATGCAATCAATATGAGAACATAACAAGCAAAACTGCATTCAAAAATTAAGGACCCAATGTTTCAGGTGCAGAACTCACTTCATTAGCATTCGAAAACATAACTACAGGTTTGCTAAGTAGGCCAACCGACTTTCGAATCCTATCTTCATCAGCAAACCATTCATCATGCAACTGACTAACATTCCTGAAAAGAAAATTACACTTATATATGATAATACATAAAACAAGGATTAAATTAGTAATAGTAGCTCAGCATAAGGCAGTTCTCATCAATATAGTTGGAAATACAAACACAAATGCTATAAACAAAACACAGGAATAGTAAAGCTACACAAATAAGTAACAACCGAAAAGAAAACAATATAGTATCCAACTAGGAAGTTTGTACCATTTATAATGGCAAAGCAATATGCTTGCAGCAACTCTAGAAATGGATAGAACAGCAGAAACATGTGAAATACTCTCTTCTTGGCGCTGTCGAATATCATCCTCCCTCAAGACGGTATATGTTTTCTGGAACATAATTCAAATTTTATAAGAAAACTGCACAGGAACATTAAAAATTGTAGGAAACTGTAACAACACAAACATCAACAACACTTCATTTTCTTTTGAACAGCCTATACTTGCACATGAAGGTCATGAACCTCTCAAGGGTATCAACTTATAAAATCATCTGAATGTGGGCCCACGACAACCAAACATTTTACTCTGTAGCTTTTAAGCCCTTTTCCTTGAACAGAAAAGGAGATGACCCCTATTTCGAACAAATAACAAAATCAAAGTGTTTAAACATAAAAAGAACATAGCACACAAATCATTGCTAGTGGCTACTACCTAAGAATCTAAGATGCACTCGGTATGTCACCAAGATATCCCTATATCTTGGGGGGCGGGGGGGGGGGGGGGGGGGGGGGGGGGTTATCCACAAAAAAGTATAGGTACTAGTCAAGCTCAGATCTTCCATTACCACACATCCTAATCCTGACAGTGGCATAATTCCCCCAGACGATATAGGATTAACAGTAATAGTCTCACTACAACTGCCATCCACCAGTTGACCTAGGGATCCTTAAAGACAGTGTATGTCCCAGATACAATCTACAATACACTTAGACATCGTTACCAAGTGCCAAACAAATCTTTTGTATTTAAATACATTCTTTTATATTAAAATACATTCTCCTCAATCTAAATAGAATAAAAGTACCCATAAATGCACAAATTAGATTTAGATTTAGATCCATTCACATGAATTTATTAAAGGTACTCACAATATGTATTGACTTGAGGTTATAGTTCACTCGGGTCTGAGAATTAAAGATTAGATACTCATATTTAATACTCGTGACTTCATCAATTCATCAAAACTTAAGATAAAACTATGACTATGAGCATTATTTTTACATAATGACATTATTTAGTTTCCATCTAAACCTCCTTCCTAGATTTAGACAACAAGTAGAGTCAATTCTCAAGCCTCAAAACAGCAAATTTAAGCCACGTCACATAATTTCGTAATTGTTTGTGGAGGACACCATGGATAAAACATAGTATATGGGATAGGAAGGTAAAACGGTCATGTTGACTGTTGATTAAATTGAGATGTTGTAGCTGTTACCGTGATGATTTCATTCTGAAAATAGTTGTGGGTTACTAGGCCTTGTACTTGTAGGATAGTTTGTGTACCTTAAAAAATCTTAATTTACAATGATTTTTATTTTGTAACAATCCTATACTTTATTTTCTTTAACTTTGTTCAACACTATTAAATGCAGGCCTTTAGTTCATGTACCTTAAAATTCTTAATTTTCAATTTATATAATTTTTTAAAACAATCCTAGTCTTTTATTTTCTCTAACTTTTTCCAACACCATTAAATGACACCCCCCCCCCCCTCTAACCACACAAAAAGAATGAATAGTCAGACACCAAGTCGCCAACTATAACAATTCAATCTTCAAGTCATTCCTAGAGCCACTAGAGATTGGGCGAGTCGACATCAAGAACTTCAAGAGGAGTTGAGCTTTACTCATCTCATCACCATCCCTTAATTGTTCAGATTGGAACTTAAAATAATTTGTAACAAGTGGTTAGTGGCCAATAGCGCCCTAGTTGTTATGTCATAATGAGAACTCACCAGACTAACACCCTACAAAATTCCCCTACCCATTTACACTTTAGATTGTGGATGTCTCAACAAACAGTTCACAAAACCTTTCAAGTTAAAGTCATTAATTTCATTATTACTTCTCCCTTTTCTCTTTCCAGTTTCCGTCCAAGCAATCCAGTAGTTTTCTCATTCCTAAGCTCCTAGCATTTATTCTTCGTTTCCTATGTCCGCTACACCCACATTCCAAGTTTTAAAACACAATAAAAACAAGTACTTTGAAACTTTTTGCACAGCCAAGTGTGAAAATGAAGATTTTAATGAGACACAAGAAGCACAATTTTTCTATAGGAACAAAAACTTCCAGGAAAAAAAAAGTAGAAAATCCTCTGCAAAGTTAAAAACCATAGGAATTATTTTCACATGACAAACTATATTAAGAATCCTAGCCTCTTCATTTAAAAACATATATATAAAAATAACACAAAGATCCAGCCAGTGACTTTTTTGTAAAAAGAAGGGAGCATAAGCAATACTCAAAGATTTTATTCCCTTTTGGTTTTCAACCTGTTCCTCTCAAGGATCCAAATATCATACAATACCCACACAGCATCCAAGCAATGATCTTACTCAACACCACCAACAATAGCCAACAAAGGAAGACAGGACCATGTCACAGGAATGGCCTATATATACCAGCCAAAATCCAGTGGGTTTTAGATATGATAGCAGTAAAAACTTATGGACAATGACAAGAAATCAACAATCAACTCAGTTAACAATATAGCTGATGCAAGTTAAGGGTCAGTAATCATGATAGCAAAGCCAGTATCACGATATTTACAACCCAATTATGATGACAAAAATTATAAATAAACCAATTATAAATAAACCAAAGTACCAGATCAACGAAATTTTCTAAATAATGGCTAAGCAAATCACTTTTCCTTAGGCACCAAATCCGTTCATGCCTCCACCCAGCACAAGTTGCTCTTCAATCTCAACCCAATAATCTCAAATTCATGTTGTGGACAAAGACAGCCACAACCAATCTTAAGCATGAAACCTCTTTCTTTATTCCATACATAAACTGAGCTTCATAAAGATCAAAAGGCAGCCTGAGTGCCTACATTGAATCATTCTATAGAAAACTCGATTATCCCTTTAACGTTACATCTCCTAGAAAACCCTAAGAAATGTGTTTAATTTATTTCCATCAAGCAGTGAAACCTCGAGCTGTCGGTCATATTATCCGCTCAGATACTTCGTTCTGAATACAATCACCAATTATTCCAAATTTGGCAGCGTAACTTCTGCATATCCTCATTAATTCACAAATAAGACTCCCACGTGCAACGATCATCAAATGATTTGCTTCCTCTTTAAAGCAATTAAAAAACTTATCATTAAGACAAACTAATCATCATGAAGTTAGCATTTCTATAATAAATAGAAGATCACTTTAAATGCCATCTGCGGCACAAAATCCAGATTTATGAAAACAAACGGCAATTTCACACCACAAGATTCATGTGAACAAACCCCTACTTTCACTCTGCAATCAGAACCAAAGAATTAACCAAAAAATCATAAAAATTCTCTAATTTGCCATAAAATCATGCCATACAAACCTCCACTGTAGCATACACAGATTGATACCATCAGACAAAACCATCCAAAATCAAACACCAATCCAATTCAGACAAAACCATCCAAATCCAAACACCAATCCAATTCAATAATAAAATCCTCAATGTCAATTAACCAGAAAACAACTCACAAATTACAGTACTTCAGTAGCATTCCCCCCACTGAAAAATCCCTCAAACCAATATCACTTATCACCCACAAATGACAAACTACATTCTTTCATTCATAAACTAAAATTCTAAGCATCATCAAAACTATAATTCACCACTTTTACAGTAATCAATCAAACTAATTTTTTTTTTTTTTAAAAAAAAAAAAAAAAAACAACTTGGGAATGCAGGAAGAGAAAGAATCAAACCTCGGACCCTTCATCACTGGCATAACCATAACCATACCCAGCATCATCATCATCATCCTCGCCGCCGCCGATAGAATCACCTCCATCCATATCAGAATCACCACCACTGTAATAATAATCTTCAGCAGAATCTCCATCATAAACATCATGAATCTCCTCATCAGAATCCATAGCTAAAACCCTAACTCGCTTCACTCCAATTTTTTGAATTCAGCGAAAGAGAGAGAGAAACAAAGGATTGTACGATCGATTAAAGCAAATGGACAGAGATAAATAGAGGAAATGATGAACTGATGATGATGATCAGAGAAAAAAATGGGGTTTTTGATGGAAAAACCTGAGAAATTGGGGGAATTTGGCTAGGGTTTATGAAAAAGTGAGAGATGAATGTACAAAGTGTGCAATTTATGTAAAGTTGGGGAAATTAGAAAGGAAAGTTTAATAAGTTAGGGCGGTGGGATGAGAGAGAATAGAAAGGACTGTGTTGTGAACAAAAGGAGAGTTTACCGGAATAGCAGGGAGGATGATGATGATGATGATGATGTTGGTTTCATTTCCAAGTTCGGACTTTGAAAATAATCATAACACTTTGACTAGCATATCATGGCAATGCATGAAAGAGCGAGGGATAAATAAAGTGATTAAAGCTTTCCTCTCGTTTTCAAAATATCTTAATTTATAAAGTGATGCATTTAAAAAACTCGTGAAATATTTGCAATTATATACTCCGTATTAATAAGGAGAAAATTCAAGTTTATACCCACGATAAACAATTTTTGTTTATCCAGCCGTATATTCGTCATTCCCATTTAAAAAGTGTGGGTACCATTGTCATTTCCTAATAGAGCTTTGACAACTGTTATGTTTCTGTAATTGACCATAGTTAAGTATTAACATAGCTACTATATCTTCAATACGGCGAAGAACACGAGGAAGGTGAAACGCGAGGCCAAAAGCCACCACCATCTTCTTCCTCCTCAACAACTAGAAAAACCATTATTTTTATCTCTTTCCTACAATCCTACCACGAGCTTCAATGGTGGAATTTTCATAGCTTCAATTTTAGAGAGATATCAAAGCTCAATTTCAAGCTTCCAATGGAGAAAACAATGGAGGAGGGGAAACACATTTACCCTTTGGGGTTCAACATGCCCTGAATTACTCCATTTTTCTTAGGGTTGTCATTCAATTTGGTGGCGAAGCCGCCATTAATGTCAGTGTTGGTGATAATGTCGGTGTCGGTACGGAGGTCGATTTGCAACAAAATGATGAAGATGGTGGTTTAATTTCGGTTATGGATTGAAGGAGGAAGGAGATGAAAGAGTAAGCATGGAAGATGGTGATGGTGGTGGTGGTTTTTGGTTTTGATGGCCTGGTGTTCTTTCCTCTCCGTTATTTTAGCTGAAAAACTTCACTAAAGGAAAACGTCCATTAATTCACGGACCTTACCCAAGTTATTCCTTTTTTGTAGGTTTATAATGGACATGTTTGGTAAATGGTTTTTTATGGCTTTTCCATTAGCTTTTTTATGTAGTCAAACAGCCAAAAAAGTGTTTGGTAATTGGCTTTTTATTTAGCGAAAAAGCTGGCTTTTAAGCCAAAATGAAAAAACTGCTTTGAGTAGCTTTTTTTTGTTAGATTTTGGCTTGTTGGCCCACAAATTATCAAATAAACAGCTAACAGCCAGCAACTAAATTTACCAAACACTTTTATAAACAGCCAATTTCAAAAACCATTATAAACAGCCAAACATTCCAACTGGTCAAACAAGTCAAGTGAACCAGCAAACCGCCAACCGCCAACAGTCATTTACCAAACAAGGCCAATATTTTATTTAGCTTCCTTGAGATATCCTAGTTTTGTTTATCTATGAGATAAATGGGGGGTTTCTCATTAATAAAAGTCAAATATTCAATAATATTTTGCACGACAACACTTTTTTATATATATTTCAGTAAAAAGTATAGTCAAAATAAGACAAATTGATGTCATTAATCTGAAGCGAATGTAGTAAGAATAGTAATGCATGAGGATAATTATAATTAGGTTGTTAGGTAAGGGTTTATGTATATAATAATGTTTGTATGGTGGATTTATGGGTGTTAAGAGTTGGATTATGGTTTGAGTTAGTTTGATGGGTGTTTTGAATAATTAGAGGCGGCAAATGGGTTGTTAATGTGAAGCACGTGTTATGATGTTCAAGTCACTAACCTCGCTATTTCTAACAGATTTGTTGTTTATTGTATGTCTTTTAAATATTTTTTAATGCAATCAAGGTGATTCTTTAATGCAATCAAGGTGTCTATATAAAATACGTAGTACAATTGTTTTATGCGTTGCAGCCTAATGGAAAAACTTGAGTTTTGACAAAATTATGAAAATGTTTGGATTTAAAGGTTATTCCTGGATTTTACATCTACCAATGGAGACTAAAATCCACAGCAATCTCTCAACGAACGTTAATTATGAATTTGAAGTTGACTTAGTCGATGAGTTCATGCGACATTATGACTATACAAGCAAATTGATGCAAACTTAAAGGGAAAATAAATTGATTATCAAACACAATGCTCATGTGTTAATTTGATTAATTTGTTTTTAAACAAACGACTAACTATATGTTCATTTATGTAATGTCAAAATAAAATGTCAATTCTAAACTACTTCGTATGATTAATGATATTAGTAGTTTAAATATTATTATCGTGTCAGTTTTAATATTCAACGTAAGTATAAAAAGGGCTATCTTTAAGGGTATAACTTTAGTAAAATTTACAATGATCAAATTTTCAATCTTTTCCAACAGAGCTCGAAGCAGTGACATATGGCTGGCTTAAGGCTTGCCAGAACGATGGAAATTTGGGAAAAGCTAATTTATAAAGTTCGAATGGAAATTATCATTTCTTAGCTTACGACTACAGGGGGCATGGTAGATAACATCTATTAAATAGTCCTTACATGCATGGTAGGTTTAGCCGTTTTGGATACATATTACAAAAATGTTTCATTATTGTACTAATTTAACAAAATATTATGCAATCCTTATATGTATCAATTAATGGAATAAATTTAAGGAGTTTTACCCAATCTCACATTTTTTTTTTTTTTTTTTGGTGAAGACAATCTCACATATTGTTATATACTTCGTACTTTGTAGTTATCTTTTGTTACTTTCGGGGGTTTACCCCTAGTTAGTATCGGGGGGGGGGGGGAAATGAAGATTAAACCTAGTGCTAAAAATTATAAGGAAGGCAATAAAAATACTATCAAGCTTCAAAGAAGTGTGAAATACAATATGGAGTACAAACTAAGGATATTGCTATCTATATCACAAAGTTTTGGAAAAAGTTACATCTAATACTTTGAAAAATATTTACAAAAACATGGTGGGTACACAAGTTCTTGATTAAGGTGGACTTTCATTAAATTATTGTAAGATGAGTTAAAGTTACCCTAAAAATATTCAAAGTTACTTTTTTATACTACAAAAGTTACTAGTTTTATAACCAAAAGTTTACCCTTAAAAATTATTTATAATATATTAGATTAATCATATTTGCCTTCAAAACATGTATTTATTAGGATTACACATTAAAATACAAACCAAATTTATACAAATTAAAAGTTACTCTTAACGGGATTAAAGTTACCATAAAAATTATTAAAATTACCCTTTAATTGACCGTCTTACAATAAAATTAAGGTAAACCCGCCTTACACAAGACTTATTGTGGTTGGTATATTCCCAAAACACCCATAAAGTTTGTGATGGAAATTACAGCTTCTTATTTATATTCCCTTCGTTCTAATCTGATAATTGTCACATATCTTTTGTGTATGTCCCAATTTAATTGTCACGTATCTTTTACATAATTACCTTTTTTCACAATACCAAAAGTTAGAGTCTCACATCTTCTCTCAATCAATTGAAAATTGGAAAAATTGTCAAAAATAATACAACCTTTTCATTATTTCTAAATAATACAACCATTAGAGGATTTCTGCTTTAAACAAGATATTTTACCTGCAACCTTAATGACCGGTAAACCTTTTTAATTTTTTAATAAATTCGTTTAACGTTTAATTAACTCTTAATTAAAACTTTAATTTAATTATGATTAACAATTAAAATAATTAATATAAATTAAAAAAGAAAAAAACCCATCCCCCGCCCATCTCCCCCACCAGCCACTGTTGCCACCCTACCCCCTTCCCCTTCTACGGCGCTCTGCCAGTAGCCCCACTCCCTGCCCACCGGCACCGGCCGCGCCCAGATCCTGGTCAGCGCCCTACCTCCTTTCCCTCTTCCCCCGAACCACAAATCCCCTACTCGAAATCCCTTTAGCTCCCTAACCCACGAAACTCCCTAAAACCATCCCCCACCCTAAAAAACCCTAACCGGACCTCCCCAACCGTCGGCGACGGTTTCGATTAGGGTTCTAGAGGGTGGGGGATGGATTTTAGGGGGTTTTATGGAGGGGAGGAAAGGGGAATCGGGAAGGGGGTTGCTGGTTTGGTGGGAAGAGGGAAACGCACAAGGGGAGTTGGGTAGGCGCTGACGCAAATTCCGGGGAGGGGGTATGGGCGCGGCCGGTGCTGGAGGGCAAGGAAGGGGGTGCTGGCAGAGCGCTAGGGAAGGGGTGGCAGCGTGGCTGGTGGGGGAGATAGATGGGGGATGGGTTTATTTTTAAAATAAATTAAATAAATAAATATAATAATCTTTTAAAAATTACAATATTAAATAAATAAAAAAATCAAATTAAATTGTCAAACCAATAAGATTATGACATGTGTCCCATCTAACCTGTTAAATAGGTTACTAACCGGTAATAACTTATTTTTAGCAGATACCCTTAAAAGGTTGTATTATTCAGAAATAATTAAAAGGTTGACTTGTTTTTGGCGAATTGCTCAAAGGTTGTATTATTTTTGACAATTTTTCCTTAAAAATTTCCTCCAAAATCTTCCATTTACCTTTTCTACTCCGTACAGCATATATAATAGATTGAGGTCAGGTTCATTTCACCTTATTTTTACTGATATGAAATTATTTTTTACTGAAGTGAAATTATTTTTGCCGAACTAATTTTTTATAGGAAAAATTCATGGCAATAATCCGACCTTTAGCACATTCTTTTTTAATAATCCGACCTTTCGATTATTATTTAATA